CCCGGCTGGCGCGCGGAGGACCTCGGGCTCCGGTCCCCGCCGGAGCCGCCAAGGTCCCCTCGGCAAATTCCCAAGCCCGAGGAGAAGCGGGCAGGGCAGGTCCGGGCGCGCGGAACCAGCTGGGGGGCGAGAAGGCCGGCCGGAGGTGCCCCCCGCGGGGTCCCGCAGCCTCGGCGCCCAGCGCCTGGGGCCCGGCTCCCGAGAGCGAGCGCAACTCCGGAGCCTTTGTCTGGCTCAGCGCTCCGGCCGCCCGGTCCCGCGGCGCCCCCTGCGCGCCCAGCTCCCTCTGTCCATGCCCGGGGCCGGGAGCTGCCCGGAGCGCGCGCCTCCTGCTAGGGGACTATGCTCGTCGCCGCGCCCGACCGGGCCCGGGTCCCCAGGCAGTCCCGGGAGGAGGCGCAGGGAGCCGACCCGAGAGAGCGAGCGAGCGAGCGAGCAAGCCAAGGAGCGGGCGCCCGACGTCCCCGGCGAGTTCGGCGCGGCTCCGGGCGCTCCCAGCCCTCCTCCTCGCGCGCCGCGGCCGCCGCGCTCTTAAAGGGCCAGTGCGCTCCCAGAGCGCGGACCCGGGCGGGGGCCGGGGACTGTGCCCCACCCGGAGGCTTCTCAAGAGCAGGTGCGGGCGGCGGAGGCCCAGCAGGTGGGTGGCCCCGTTTACTCTTCCCAGACGGCGGGAAACCTCTCCAGCCCACCCCGCGTCACTCCCAACCCAGCGTCGCGGGTGGGGCGGGGGCGACCTCCAACTCAACCCCCCGCAGAGGGAGGAAGCGGGGAAGGCGTGGTCTCCCTATTTGGGAGGAATGAAGACTCCTCCTTCTCCTACCTGGTAGTTAGGGGGATACTGAGGCCAAGGGGGACGGGAAGGAGGTCTTAGGGGAGGGACCAAAGAGTCCAGTTTTAGGCTTAAAAAAAGTCGATATATAGAAATTTGTCAGCCTGAAACCTCTTTTCAAAAGCCCCGGGGTGTCTCTGGCCCTTGAGTAACTTTCCTCAGTAACAAAGTGAGGGTTTTGTGCGCGTCTAGGGCGCGTTGCAGCGGACAAGGGGCAGGTTTAGCAGGGACACGGTTCAAGTGCCGGATCCGCCCCTTGGCTGCCGCTCGCACGTGGGCAAATTAATCTCTCCGAGCCTCCATGTTCTTATCGGGAACATGGGGCAAAGAGTTGGGATTAGAGCGAGGTAAGGCTTCCGGTTCCTGGCCTGGCGCAATAGGTGCCCAAGCACTTTGGCCACTGGCTGGTGCGAATGAAGTGCGACAGTGCGGCCCGACGCGGCGCGAGGCGGGTGGACACACCTCCCTGCGAAGCCTAACGAGCTGGATTTCATTCTATTCCGGAAGCAGCTTGAGGTCCGAGCAAGGACGCCCGGGTCGAAGGTCCGCCGAGACCCGGGGGCCAGGCCAAGGGCAGCCCTGGCGCGGCGGACTGGCCGGAGGGGGTCAGTGGGTGAGGGCGGCTGGCAGAAGGGCAGAGACCGCATTCCTTATCTTCAGACCCGGAAATGGAAGCTGTCCTTACCTGAGGGCGGTTTTCTCTAGAGCAGGCCCTCGGGGCATCCCAGCCTGCCTCACCTCCCGGAAATTGGAAATCAGGAGACCTGGCGGAGAGCCTTAGAGAGGGCGTGTTTTGAACTCTCCTACTAGGCGAAGGTGGAGAGGCTACCGGGGATGTCCTTGGGGAAAAGAAGTCAGAGTTTGGAGAAAGGATCCTGGCAATTTCATCATTTCCACGGACTCACTTCTCTGTGGGATCCCTCATCTGGAAAGTGGGTTTCTAAATTCTCCACTTTGAAATTTGCTTTTGGGAAATGTGCAGTGGTCTTCAGACACGGACAACATGGTTGTCCTTGTTTAACCGACGACATTGCACTCTTTAATGATATTTAGTCTGGATCAGCCAATTGGAAAAAGTTTGAGGCTAGGCGAAGTGGCTCAAGCCTGTAATCCGAGCACTTTGGGAGGCCGAAGCAGGAGGACTGTTTTAGCCCAGTAGTTCAAGACCAGCCTGGGCAACATGGCAAGACCCCATCTCTACAAAGAATACAAAAATGAGCCAAGCGTGGTGGTGCACACCCGTAGGCCCAGGTACTTGGGAGGCTGAGGTGGGAGGATCACTTGAGTCCAGGAGGTTGAGACTACAGTGAGCTATGATCATGCCACTGCCCTGAATTCATCCCAGCTGACAGAGCAAGAGCCTGTCTTAAAAAAAAAATAGTTGGGGTTTATGGGGCGAGCTATTAGTGAGAGGAGCCCAGGAATGAATGGAGCAACATTCTTAGAGGCCCGGGTCAGTCAAGTCTGGTGATTGTTTTCTCCCTGTTGGAGATTCCTCTCTTGGGGTCCAATCCTGCCTTAAGGAAATGACATCCCCTGTGACCAGATCTTGAAGCTCCTAGTTATTGGTTATCCAAGGTGGATTTGCACCTACATCCAACACAAGATGGCTGGGTTTCTACCAGGTCTGGCCAGCAGGGAGCACAGAGAATCCCCATCCTCAAGACAGCACTTCTGCAGACTTGGACACTGGCTTGTATTGGGACGAGAGGCAGGTGTGAGGTAGGTACTCCATCAACAAGCCCAGGAAGAGGGACTGGGCCATTCCCCTGGGGGAGGATGTGGCTGGGGAGTCCATCTGTCCTGAGGATGGAATTTGAGTGCAGCAACTTTGAGAAATGGGCCAAGATCAATAGCCAGTCTTCAATGGAGAATGGAAGGTGGCAGCTGAGGAAGGAAGTAGGAGACTCGCTGAGGGGGATGGGTGGGCAGGCTGTGCCTGAGGAGGTGGCTGGCGGCAGGAACTTGGCGGGCACCCAGACATTGAGTGTGCCTCTGGAGCAGAGCGAGCGCATGGAGTGAGCGCTCCCGCTGACAGTGCAGAAGCAGCCAGGGCTCTTCCATAAGAGGAGATTCTCCATAAGAGGAGAAACCCGGGAGACAGAGGGAAGACCAGAGAAGGCTGCGGTCCCCCCCCAGGCAGGCTGGCCCAAAGAAATGCTCTTGATGGGGATTTTATTGCACTAGGGAGAGTACAAAATCAACACATCTGGCCTGGGTGTCCTCAGATGTTCCCCGCAGGGCAGGGAAATGATCATCTCACGCCTGTTTGGCCGATTTCCACCTGGCACTCTCCAGTGCCTCTCCAGACCACCCCAGCTTTGTTTCCAGGGGAGAGGGAAATTACCTTGGCTTGTTTGTTTATTCCTTGTCTTGGCACCAAGAGTCCCAAGGCCTGCTTCACCTTTGATGGTGCGTTGGGTGGGTGCATCGCCTGAGGAGCCCCTGGAGGGGGCAGCTGGGGGGGGGTGTCCTGGGCCTAGTTCCAGCCCACAGCAACTTTCCTTCACTGAACAGGAGACCTCCCCTACGACCTCAGAACTCTCCTTTTGCAAATGAGGAAACAAACCCAAAGAGGGGAATAACTTGCTGGGATTGCCCAGTTAATTAGAGCTGAGGCAGAAACCCAGGGATCTAGCTTCTGATCCAGAGCTTTTTACAACCCCTCACGCCACTTCGGGACCTGTAAATGAAACAGCTCTGAAACACCATGTCTGGGCTTTCATTCAAAAGACTCCAAGAAAAAAAGGTGTGTGGTGGTAGGCGGGGGTGTCAGGGTAGAGATGAAAGATAATGGCAAAATGTGGATAAGGTTTAAAGCTACTTGATGGAAGGGCTGGAGTTCACACATCTCAGTCCCATTGACTGACTGGTCCTTTCGGGCTTGCTCTGCCCCAGAGGCACAGGTACTTGGGAGGCTGAGGTGGGAGGATCACTTGAGTTCAGGAGGTTGAGACTACAGTGAGCTATGATCATGCCACTGCCCTGAATTCAGCCCAGCTGACAGAGCAAGAGCCTGTCTTAAAAAAATAGTTGGGGTTTATGGGGCGAGCTATTAGTAAGAGGAGCCCAGGAATGAATGGAGCAACATTCTTAGAGGCCCGGGTCAGTCAAGTCTGGTGATTGTTTTCTCCCTGTTGGAGGTTCCTCTCTTGGGGTCCAATCCTGCCTTAAGGAAATGACATCCCCTGTGACCAGATCTTGAAGCTCCCAGTTATTGGTTATCCAAGGTGGATTTGCACCTACATCCAACACAAGATGGCTGGGTTTCTACCAGGTCTGCCCCAGTACCAAGAGGGCAGACCTTGTCTGCTTCACCAAGCGCCCGGTTCAGGGCCTGGCACAGGGCAGGTGTCAGTTAAGTGCAGGCTGCACAGCCAGAATTGCCATGTTGCTTGCAAGCCAGAAAGTATGCCTGGCATCCTCCTCCTCTCCAGAAAAACCAACCTACTGATGGGTCAGAGTCAGCAGATCAGCATGGCGGAGAGCAGGAACAAGGCACAGAATGTGCCTGGGTCTTTCAGTGCCGTGTCTGGGAAGCTGCCTCAGGAAAGGCAGGGTTGCAGGGGCCACAGTGGGAGCCAGGGCAATAGGCCCCTTTCCCTCAAGCCCTGTGAGCCCACCCAGATGCCAGGCCTGACCACGAGGCGGTGTGTAGGGCTGGATCAGGGCCACCCCAGCACAGGACTTGAGGTTGGGCTGAGGCTGGATCAGGGCTGCCCCAGCACAGGACCTGAGGTTAGGGCTGAGTATGGCCCTTCCTTGTGGTTTCTCATGTAAGTAAGTCGCTGAACCTGTTCTTGTAACAGCAGACTAGTCATTCCTACCCTGTTTATCTTTCAGGGGGACACTGGAAGACATGAGAAGGTTCTGGGAAGCACTCAGTGTCACAGCAGAAGGCCTCAGTGTCTGCCTATATCGGTGAGGGATGCGGGTGGTGACCCCTGCCACACGCCTAACCCCAGGCTAGATGTGCCATGTGAGAACTCTGTCTGTAGACCTGGCAGGTCGGGTGACCCCTCCCTACCCTCATTTTACCGAACTCAAGGCCACCTTGGAAGTCACAGCAGAGACTTCCAAGAGCCCCTCTAAACTGAGACACAGCTTGACAGGGTAGGAGAAGATGAAAGTCATCTTTTCACTGGGTTAAATACAAGTAGTCCAAAAAAGATCCAAAATAAAAAATGCAATTTTTATTTGTTGAACATAATTTAAAACTGTAACATAAGAAGATTTCTGTATCCATCACCAGAAATACAGAAGACACCTGGAGAGGACTGACTGTCCCTTTGCCAGGGGGAAGGTTTGATGAAAAAACCTGCCTCCACGTTGCCCCTCAGAATGCCTGCAGCTGCAGCGGGCGGGAGGCAGCAGCAGGAGGAGAACCTGGGCTGTGAAAGGCTCCTCTGCCTCTCTGGGAAAGCTGCTGGGGAAGCCAGAGGTCACAGTGCATTGGAGGCCTGGCTTTCAGCCACTGGCCAGGCCAAAATGAAACATCTGCTAGTCTCCCAGGCACCTTGCTGGAGGTGAGTGGAAGAAAGGAGTAGAGAAAACTGATGCTGGACCACAAATTATCACCCTGTATCTTGGCCCTGAAGTGGCCCCTGCTGGCACAGAAGCAGGGTGGAAGTAAAAGTAAATTAATAAAAGTGACACTGTTCAAGGAGAGAGGCTGACAGACCCACTGAAGCACCCCATGTCCTTGCTTGACCAGGAATAAGTCAGGGCATGATGATTTAAAAAACTCTGATCTGAGGCCAATGGCATTGAAATACAAATTGCTGAAGCGGGGGAAGTGGGAGAGGGAGTGAAGGGCTGTTTGTTAGAGGGACTACAGTGGAGATTCTGGCGAGTGTGGGTGGGTTCGCCAGTGACCCCAATATTTTCTTTGCAAAACACCAGAGAGTAAGAATTAGGATGCCCAGGCTGCCCTCTACTGGCAGTTTCTGGGAAGGGCCACAGCACAGCAGCACCCAACCAGCAACCCACAATAGCCAAGTAAGGAGAGAGAGGAGAGAGGGAGAAAGAGAGAGGAGAAAGAAGATAGGCGAGAGAGGGAAATGATCAGCACTCAGGGAGGATGAGGAGGGGCTACACCTCCTGCCAGGCTGAAAGCATGGCTGGGGCCTCCTAGTGGGAGGCTAGAAGCATCTCCATCGATTTTAGGGGGTTCCTCCATCTCAGCCTGGCCTGCAGAGGGGCTTGGAGGAGGAAGACCTCTGGTGCTCACTTCAAAGGCATCGAGAAGAACTTGTTCCCAGACTTGCAGCGGACTTGCTCAGTATGCATGCGCAGCAGCACCTCAGCATCTTCAAACCCATCCACGATTGCCTTAAAACAGCAGCCAGGGGAGGACGGTCACATTAAAGGGCATCTGGGACCCAGAGGTTTGCACTGCAAACAAAACCAGCTCACCCAACTTCAGAGGCTGGGCGAGGCTGAGGCTGCAGGCTCCAGGCTCTGCATTGGCTATCTTGTCTGACCACTTCTGTAATCTCTGAGATTGGTCTTATCATCCCAATTTGACAGATGAGGACACAGACGCTCAGAGCCCTGGATTACAGAAACCAATAAAACCAGGCCTGGGACCCAGCTCTGCTGGAGCCCAAACCCGAGCTCTCTGTCACCTTCAGCCACATTAGGCCAAGAGCAAGGCAGCTTCTTGATCAGAGACCACAGCTGCATCCAGCCTGCACATGTTTGGTTTGGCTTGCAAAATGTTTTTTAAACATCCAAATTAGTTGCTGACATTTGAAAACTGACAGATTCCATGTAAAAATCTAGGTTTCTGGCTTCTCTTATAAAGCAGAAGTGCTAGCAACTCTAGGCCTGCCTTCCTGCATGGCCACACTCCCTACGGCCTCCCCGACCAGAGGTGGGGTATCAGCCACCGCTTACCACTTCATGCAAACAACTCCTAGGGTGCAGATGGGAAAGTGAAATCTTTCAGCTACTTATCAAAATTTGATAGACTCTGGGGGCTGGATGTTCCTTACGCCTGGCACATTTTACTGATTTCCAATGCCAGGCCCAAGCCTCTGACCTCTGGGGAAGTAGCTAGGACTTCAGGGGAAGCCTGCAGCTTCCTCACAGATCAGTGTTCTAGGGCAGTGCTTCTCAAAATTCCCTAGAGATCTTGTTAAAATGTAATTCTGATTTCTTATGCCTAGCATGGGACCAGAGGTCTGCATTGCTAATAAGCTTCAGGTGATGACGCTGCCGGTCCAGGGGCACACCTTGAGTCACAAGGGAAGGTGTTGGGGTCTCCTGCCATGTCATTTGCTTCCCAGGGATTCAGGTTTGGGTGCCTCATCCTCCCCACTCCAGCATCTGTCCCGTCATTTCCGGAGTTCAGCATCCTCTGTGCTCCTGCCCTGGGAATTCACCTGTAGTTCCTGCAGGCACTGCCCCTCCAGCTGGAGACGTGCATCACCCACACACCAGGCCAGGCTGAGGTGGAAAGAAGGGTCCTGGGGAGGAAAATGAGAGGCAGGAGGTCACCCGGACGCCTTGGCAGGCCCTGCCATCACAGCAGGTCTGTGACAGAGCTGTCATGACGTCCCTGCTGGATCCCTGTCCTGCCCAGTGGGAGACAAGTTTCTCAATGTTGGTCCCAAGCACCCTCCACAGACAGACAAAATAGCCCAGGACTGGTCTCATGGACTGAATGCCCCCTCAAAGCCCTGGCCTCCCAGGGTGTGCATCCTCTGAAGGCTGCCGTTTGTAGCACTCACACAGGAGGGAGGTTCTGAAGGGTCTTTGGTTAAAGAGGGTTTTATTCTCGTTAGAGATGGGTCAATGGAGAAGCAGCAGCCCCATTCATTACCTGGTAGAAAGTGGTAAGGTTGAATTCCTCCATGACTCTGTCCACCTCTGAAACCAGGTCCAGGAACTGGGCATGCCCTGAAGTGACCTCGAGCCCAATAAAGGTCCTGGGGAGAGGAAGACAACACAGGCATGAGATGCAGCCTCTGAGAACACCTGCCATCCGTGCAGCCAAGGAGGTGCCAGGCAGAAGGCCAACCAAGAGGCCTGGGCCCTGGGCCTCACCCCGTCTCCCTGGTATGCTGGTTTTCCTGTTCTATGAACCAATTCTCTCAGTCCTCAGATTCTCTGTCTGTAAACCTTCCTTTCCCAGTTCTATACACATCTCTCCTCCCTCCCCTGCATCAAATAACCCTTACAGGAATGCCTTCACCCACCACTGCCAAGTCACAAACCCAGAAGCTTCTGCACCCCCATTCCCCATTCTCCATCACTATTCCAATTGCAAACGACTCCTGTCCTCAAAGAAATCTCTTCTCAAGGACTTTGCTCTCTGGCATCTGCTACCCCTCCCATAAGCACTCAGACTCTCTCTCATCTTTAGAAACTCTCCCCTGAAGCCACGTCTTCAGCAGTCCCCATCCCATTCTCAGTAAAACTTCTCAAAAAGATGATTTGTCCACCATCACTATCTCTTTCTTACCTCCCACCTTCAACACACTTTGCTGGAAGGGCTCTTGTCAAAGTTGCCAACAACCTCCATGTTACCAAATCCAAGGGACACTTCACTGTCCGCCTCTTACCCGTTCAGCGGTATCTCACACAGCGGACTTCCCTCCTTGAAACCCTGTTCTCTCTTGGCTCCCAAGACACCACCTGCTGTACAGTCCTGGTTTAATCTTACTTCCTGCCTCCTGCTTCAGTGTCCTCTGCCACCCTCTCTCCTCTCCAGCCTCTCTGTGGTGAAGGAGAGATGGAGCTCTGCAGTTCTCACTGGCTCTTCTCCATCTGCTCTCCAGGAGGCTGATCTCACCCAGCCCCGCTTTCTCATACAGGCCAACACTGCCTACATTTCTATCTCCAGCTGGTTCCTGTCCTGAACACCCAGTTGTGTCTGTGACATTTCCACCTAGGGGTCTGACAGGCAACAAAACCTAACAGGTAGAAACGCATAGGTACAAAGCAGAATTTTTGATTTTTATCCCACCAGCGTCTCCTATCACAGAAAATGGGGCCAGCTGTTCTAGCCTCAAACCCAGGAATCGATGTTTATTTTCTTCCTTCACATAAACCCAACCCATTGGTAATTCGGCTGCTTCTGCCTCCAGTGTATCTCCAACGTGTCCACCTCTTGGTCTTGCACGGCCATCACCCTAATCTAGGCCACAGTGGCCCCTCACCTAGACAATGACACCTGTCTCCTTTCTGGTCTCCCTGCATCCACCCTTGCTCCCTTCTATCTTGTCTTGAGACTCCACAGTCACAGACACACCATCTAGCCAGACTGCCATCCCCAGGTACAAATCAGAGCATACCTCTCCTCTGTTCAAATCCCTCCAATGGCTTCCATGATACTGAAAATTCAAACTCCTTACTTGACCTTGCAGACCCTGCGTGGGCTAACCCTGCCCATCTCATCTCCCATCCTTCTCCTGCATGCTCTCTGGGTTCCGCCTCACTGGCCTCCTAAACACACTGAACTCTTCCCTGCTTCGGAGTCACTTAGTTTGCTATGTCCTCTACTTGAAGCTCTTGGAACAGCTCTTTCCAAGACTGGCTTCTCATCCTCAGGTCACCATCAAATGCCATCTCCCTGGCCACTTCCCTGGTGCCCTCCTGGACTACCCCCTCCCTACCACTGTATCACACCACAGTTATTAACAAACACTCTCATTACTTACTATCTCTCTCCCCTCTGAATATGAGATTGAAAAGAGCAGGGGCTGTGTCTGCTTCTTCACTGCTGAATACTTAGCATATGGTGAATGCCCGGCACAAGTGGGTGCTTAACGAACTTGGGCAGCACGGACTAAATGAATGAGTAAATAAGGCCCCTTTCCGAAGTGCTCAGAGAAAGTGGCCCAGTGAGTGGATCAGACAGGAAGGCTCGCTTTGAAGCTGGGATAATAATTTCTTCTACTGTTCATCTAACACTTTAATACTTTTAACTTTTCAAAGGCCTTGGGACTCATTTGAGCCTCACAACTGCCCAACAATGGATGTTGGGAGGTGTGTACTGGTGTGAAAACGAAGGTCACAGAGATGAAGACCTGGGCCAAATGCCACAACTGGGATGGAGCTGGGCAGGAACAGGTTTCTGACTTTCACAGGTTTTCACTAAACCAAGATGCTTCTCTCAGTCTCTAGGCACCACCCCCCATGTGGCTCTCCCAGTTATTATTATTATTATTTTTTTTTTTTCAGACAGTGTCTCACTCTGTTGCCCAGGCTGGAGTACAGTGGCGCAATCTTGGCTCACTTTAACCTTGACCTCTAGGGCTCAAGTGATCCTCCCATCTCAGCCTCCCAAGTAGCTAGAACTATAGGCACACACCACCACGCTCAGCTAATTTTTATATTTTTCATAGAGACAGGGTTTGGCCATGTTGCCCAGGCTGGTCTGGAACTCCTGAACTCAATCTATCCACCTGCCTCAGCCTCCCAAAATGCTGGAATTATAGGCGTGTGCTGCTGCGCCTGGCCTCCCCCCATTACTTTTCTTAATGAAAGGTTCAGATCTGGGGATAGCTGCCTTTGTAGTCAGAGCTGGTTAAAAGCAAACAAAAAAGGGGACAAACAAGTCCAGAGGCAAAGCCCTTGATATTTGCACCAAAGAATCTTCCTCTAATAGTGACTGGGGGTTGGGAGGACCCACCTGGTTTTCTCTTGATTGGTGTAAATCTTTACCTGGTTGGCAGTAAAGAAGAATCTGAAATTTAGAAGACCATATTTCAGAAAAAAAGCAGAAAAAAGTAGCTTATGTTAAAAAAAAAACAGCACTTTGAAAATATAGTGAACTCATTTTGCACTTAATATTATCACCCCATTATGCAAGTGGTATCCTGAACCCTAAAATATTAGAGCTGGACAAGACCTTGAAATCACCCAGTCCATGAAACACACAGCATCATCCAGGTGCTAGTAAAAATTTTACTTTGTTAATTGCCTTTCATCTTGATAAACAATTTGAGACTATCTCAACTTTACTGATGGGAACTGAGAAAGCCTTATTGATCAAGTAGGTGATAATAAACCACTTAAAGGCCGATTCCTTTCTTGCAGTTTTTTAAAAAAAACAGACAACTCCAATTTCATCTAAGCAATCATGAGACCATTTCCTTGTGTGTCAGCACTGAGCTCAAGCCTCTGCACACATCCGCTTCTTGAATCCTCACACAACTCTGTGAGCAGGCCTACAGTTATGCCCATCTTACAGATAAAGAAACAGAGGCATGGTGAAGGTGAATCTGGTGAGCCAGAATTTGAACCTCAGTCTGCCTGTTTCCAGAGTCCTTGCTGTCACCTATGACCCTTTGGTGAGGGGAAGTGGGTCTCTGTTGGTGTGAAAACGAGACAGATGCCCCCACCCGCCCACCCATGCCTCAGATCAATAACATAGGAAGAGTCAGGCTCAGCCAGGTAAGTGCTTTGACTTGGACAGGTTCTGCCTGTTGTTCTCTGAGATACTCACAATCTCACCGTGGAAGGTCCTGTCACAGAAACAGATACTTTTACAGCCCCCAGGCCAAGGGTCTCACCCCCCATCTGAGGGAACATAATATACCAGCATGCTGGGTAGAGCCTCACAATCTGTCCAAGGGCAAAAGTCAGCCAGCCAACTCTGTGCCTCTGGGGAAACTGTAAGGGATCGCAGAACCACCAGGAGCTCGGATAAGCGCAGCTTTTAGGAATAGTTCTGCAAGGTATCTGACAGACATCCTGGAGTGGACATTGGATGTCTGTGCCTAACCAACACCCCTTCTCCTGGTCACCTCATGGTGCAGGATGGCTCTCCCTCCCTACTCCAGAGGCAGGCTGCCCAGGCCTAGCCAAGCAGAGCTTAGCATCTCCTCAGTCACAGCAAGAGTCAGGGGTCACCTTTGCCTCAACCAGATGATCGAACTCGAAGAGACCACACCTGGCCTGGCTTCACTCATGACACAGAGCGGTGACAGATCCCTTCCTCAGAGGGAACCGGCCCGGGGGTCCAGGTGCTGTTTTCTAGTCTCCCAGTGAGCAAGGGAACCAGCCACATATACATCCCACAAAGTCCATTCTGCAATGGACTTTGGGCAGTTTTCGGAGGTCCCAGCAAGGAACTTGTGACCAGTGAAGGAACCACTGTATGCAGGGGAGCCCAGGCCGTGGCTTCCCGGCAGGGGCACAGTTCATGCCATCTTCCTGGCGCAGGTGCAGCGTGCCAGTCAGTCATCAGCCCTAACACAGCCGCACTCCTCCTTCATCCAGGGAACAGAGCTTCCGCAGGACAAGGGAAGCATTCTGTGTGGAAGGGGGAAGGGACTGTTAACTCTTTACTCCCAAAGAAAGGGTACAGGAGGCAGGTCAGACCAGTCAGTCATTCCTGTGACTTGTGCTGAAGCCAGTCAGAGAGGGGGACTGTTTTCCCAGGCTGGTACGCCATCAGCCCGGAGATGCAGTGGCTTCTTTTGTCACTGCCATCTGACACCTTCTTGTCACCCTGGTCCACTCATGCATGAGCCAGTACTACCTCTGAATCTTTTAGTTATACCAGCCTATGAATTTCTCTTTGGTTTAAGCCACTTTGGGTTGGGTTTCTGGCACATGTGGTTAAAAGAGTCCTGATAATATACTTACGGCTCAATAAGTTTGATAGTGACAATCCAAAGACGGCGAGTGCTGGACTAGGTTGAGAGACGAGTTTCAGCCCTGATTCCCTGGCTGAGTGACTGGACTGAGACAAATCCCATCCTCCTCTGGGCCTCAGAGGGGTTCAACTAACTGAGCAGTTTCCCAGTTGGGCAGTGACATCCTATGGAATTCCTGGGCCTATGGCCCGCTGACCTGTGGGAGTGCAGCTTTGGCTAGAAGATTTCTGTTTATTTCCATCTTACACAGCCACATACCAGGCTTTTGCGCAACACCTCATTTGAAGAAAGGTTCTGCTGATAAACGCAGAGTCAGAAAACCACCAGCTGGGCGGCTTCTTAGGCTCCTTCTAGTACCAAGAGAAGAGGATCCAGAAAGATATTCTTTGTGCTCCCTCGACCCTGCTCCATGACTCAGCAAGCATCTATTTGATGTCTACAGTGAGCACAGCACCTGGAACAAGCTGCGGGGTAATTCAGAGAGAAGCCACAGAGGAGTGTGAGCTCCAGGAGGGAAGATGGACACAGGAATGACTGCATATGAGGGGAGTGAAATGACCAACCAGGATAAACAACCCCAGGACCGAATGAGCTGCAGATGGAGGGATTCTGCAGGAGATGCCAACTGGGAGAGCCTCAGTAAAAGAGCAGGGTTTTGATCTGGACCCGTCCAGGAGGAGATGCATTTCTGGCAGGAAAAATAGTTATGAAATAATGCAATAGGTAAGGGGAAAAAAAGCTCCAGGCTGGCAGACAAAACCAGAAGTGGGGTCTGGTTCTATATGTTCACCAAAGTGGTGTGCTGAGGGCACCTGTGATCTCCTTTCACCCTCACAAGCCGCCAGTGAGGTAGCTCATCACCACTATGACCTGTTTGCCCTATCATTGTGAAATGGTAACATATGTGTTGGTCTCAGCCTCTAGTTTCTGACACAGAGATCCTAAAACCTGTGTCATTTCCTAAGCAGTGGGGGTGCCAGGAGCATCTTTTCATCTATTGTTTGGTCTGTGACCCTTGGCTCCTGACACAGAGCTCCTAATCCTTTGGAATTTCCTGGGTGACAGAGGTGTCTTTTGTTCCAACAGGCAACTCTTGGTGGGCTCCTGGATGGGGGCTGATCACAGAAAGAGCAAGGCATGATTAGAAGCTGGGAACTTTCAGCTCCACCCCCATCCTCCTGAGATGGGAGGGAAGCTAGAGGCTGCGTTAACAATCAATCATGCCTACATGATGAAGCCTCCAGAAAAATTTAGAACTACAGAGTTTGAGGAGCTTCCCTTGGTGAAAAAGAACACATCCATGTGCTGGGTGGGGGTGCACCCCCAACATAGGGTCAGAAGCTCCCATGCTGGGGACCCTTCCAGACCTCGCCCTAACTGTCTCTTCATCTGGCTGTTCATGTGTATCCTTTAATATATCCTTTGTAATAAACTGGTAACCTAGAAAGTGGATGGTTTTCCTGAATTCTGTGAGCTGTTCTAGCAAATGATCAAATCTGAGGAGGGGTCCATAGAACCTCTGATTTGTAGTGAAATGAGACGGATGTTGTGGGTTACCTGAGAACTCAACAATACAGATGGTGTCTGACATGGAAAGCAGTCTTGTGGGACTGAGCCCCTAGCCTACGAAGTCTGCCCTAACCCTGGGTTATTAGTGTCAGAATTGAGTTAAATTGTAGGACACCCAGTGGGTGTCTGGAGAGTTGGATAATTTGCTGGTGTGGAAAAAAACCCTGCACATCTGGTCACAGAGGTGCTGGAAATACTGAGAGAGAGTTTACAGAGAAAAAGGTGGCTTTTCCTACAGAGCAGATAAGGCATCAGGAGTGTCAAGAGCTGCCACGGCATGCCCAAGGTCACGGAGGATGAGAAGTACAGCAGGCAGCCCCAGGAGAGGGGCCGTGTTCTATCTTTAGGTCTGGCCTGCTTGCTGGGGTAATGCCTGCAATAGCTCAGGAGAGAAGCCGTGGAGGAGAGGGAGCGGAGAGGCGGAGGGAAACACTCACCTCTGGAAGGAGGCCACGCGGGCTTTCAGAGCTTGCACAAAGGGGAGGATCCAGTGGTGGCGCAGAACCACGCTCTGGGACAGGCTGAGGTGGAACGCCTCCATCCTTACCAGCCGGGGGACGTATGTCTGGGCATGTGGCAACAACACATCAAGCAGATCCAGGAACTCCTCCTTGGCTTCATCTGGAAGGGAAGAGTGAAGAAGGTGGGCCTTTCTCTCAGCCAAGGTGCCATGGTTGAATGAAGAAGCCCAGAAGGCAGAGGGAGGTCCTTATTACTCTGGGTTTGGGAAGAAAATTACTTGGACAGCAGCCTATGTCTATGTCTTCTCATAGCATTTTAATAGGTATTTCTGGGAAGTCCCAGCTAGAGCAATCAGACAAGTGAAAGAAAGAAAAGGAATTCAAATTGGAAAGCAAAAAGTCAAATTATCCTTGCTTTAGGATGATATGATCTTATATTTGTGTTTTGTTTTTGTTTTTTTTGAGACAGGGTCTTACTTTGTTGCCCAGGCTGGAGTGCAGTGGCTCAGTCTCAGCTCCCTGCAAACTCGGCCTCCTGGGTTCAAGCAATTCTCCTGCCTCAGCCTCCTGAGTAGCTGGGACTACAAGGATGTGCTGCCCCATCTGGCTAATTTGTATATTTTTTGTAGAGATGGGGTTTTACCATATTGGCCAGGCTGGTCTTGAACTCTTGACCTCGAGTGATCTGCCCACCTTGGCCTCCCAAAGCGCTGGGATTACAGGCATGAGCTACTGTGCCTAGCCTGATCTTATATTTGGAAAAGCCTAAAGCCTCCATCAAAAAACTATTAGAAATAAATTTAGTAAAGTTGCAGGATACAAAATCAGCATACAAATCAGCATTTCTACATGCCAACAATGAACAATCTGAAAAAGAAATCAAGAAAGCAATCCCAATTACAACAGCTACAAATAAAATAAAATAAAATAAAATAAAATAAAATAAAATAAAATACCTAGGAATAAACTTAGCAAGAAGTGAAAGATCTCTACAATGGAAACTATAAAACACACAAGAAATTGGAGAGGACACAAAAAAATGAGATGATATTCCATGTTCATGGATTGGAAGAATCAACAGCGTTAAAATGTCTATAATACCTAAAGCAATCTACACATTTAATACAATCTCTATCAAAATATCAATGACATTCTTCACAGAAATAGAAAAAAAAAATCCTAAAATTTATATGAAACCACAAAAGATCCAGAATAGTCAAAGCCATCCTGAGCAAGAAGAACAAAACTGGAGGAATCACATTACTTCAAATTATACTACAGAGCTACAGTAACCAAAACAGCATGGTACCGGCCTAAAAACAGACATGCAGACCAACGGAACAGAATACAGAACCAAGAAATAAATCCATACATCTACTGTGAACTCATTTTCAACTAAGGTGCCAAGAACACACACTGGGAAAAGATAGTCTCCTCAATAAAAGGTGCTGGGAAAACTGGATATCCACAAGCAAAAGAATGAAACTAGGCCCCTATCTCTTGCCATATACAAAAATCAAATCAAAATGGATTAAAGACTTAAATCTAAGACCTCAGACTATGAAACTGCTACACATTGGGGAAACTCTCCAGGACATTGGTCTGGGCAAAGATTTCTTAATTCCTGGGAAGCACAGGCTACCAAAGCAAAAATGCACAAATGGGATATCCTATCAAGTTAAAAAGCTTCTGCACAGCAAAAGAAACAATCAACAAAGTGAAGAGACAACCCACAGAATGGGAGAAAATATTTGCAAACTACGCATAGAATAACCAGAATATATAAGGAGCTCAAATAACTATAGGAAAAAAATCAAATAATCTAATTTAAAAATGGGTAAAAGATCTGAATAGATAGTTCTCAAAAGAAGACATACAAATGGCAAACAGGCATATGGGAAGCTGTTCAACATCACTGATCATCAGAGGCAAACAAATTAAAACTATAACGAGCTATCAACTCACCCCAGTTAAAATGGCTTTTATCCAAGACAGGCAATAACAAATGCTGGTGAAGATGTAGAGAAAGGGGAACTCTCATACACTGTTGGTGGGAATGTAAATTAGCACAGCCACTATAGAGAACAGTATGGAGGTTCCTCAAAAAAATAAAATAGAACGACCATAGGACCCAGCAATTGCACTGCTGGGTTTGTACCCTAGAGAACAGAAATCAGTATCTTGAATAGATATCTGTACTCCTGTGTTTATTGCAGCACTATTCACAATAGCCAAGATTTGGAATTAACCTGAGTTGTCCATCAACACACAATGGATAAAGAAAACGTGGCACATATACACAAAGGAGTACTATTCAGCCACAAAAAAGAATTAGATCCTGTCATTTGCAGCAACATGGATGGGAACTAGAGGACATGATGTTACGTGAAATAAGCCAGGCACAGAAAGACAAACTTTCCATGTTCTCACTCATTTGTGGAAGCTAAAAATTAAAACAATTGAACACATGGAGATAGGATTATTACCAGAGGCTGGGAAGGGTAGTGAGGGTGGGGGCAGGTAGGGTAAAGAATGAGGATGGTTGCTGGGTACAGAAATATAGTTAAATACGCCAGGTGTGGTGGCTCACTCCTGTAATCCCAGCACTTTGGGAGGCCAAGGTGGGCTGATCACCTGAGGTCGGGAGTTCGAGACCAGCCTGACCAACATGTAGAAGCCCCCGTCTCTACTAAAAATACAAAATTAGCAGGGCATGATGGCACATGTCTGTAATCTTAGCTACTCGGGAGGCTGAGGCAGGAAAATAGCTTGAACTTGGCAGAAGTTGCGGTGGATTGAGATTGCACCATGGCATTCCAGCCTGGGCAACAAGAGTGAGACTCTGTCTCAAAAAAAGTTAAATACAATAAATAAGATCTAGTATTTGATAGCACAACAGGTGACTACACTCGACAATCATTTGCTGTACATTTTAGAATAAGGGAGTACAAATAGAATCTTCATAACACAAAGAAATGATAAATGCTTGAGGTGACGGTACCCCATTTACCCTGATGGGGTACACTGCATGCCTGTATCAAAATAGCTCATGTACTCCATAAATATATACACCTATAATGTATCCAAAAAATTAAAAATATAAAAAGTTAAAGTTTTGTAATTTTTTCTTTAAAAACTAGGCATTTCTGGTTATAGAAGTAACACATGCTCCTGAAATTCTGTCACCTAAAGCAATGGTCTCCAAACTACTATGATCACACAGCCCATTAGTAAAACAAGTTTGCATGTATATGCTAATAAACATATATTTATAAATTACAAGTGTGTGCTACTCTGTAAAATTATGTGTTATAAAACGTGCACTCTCAAAAACAGAAACCTAAAAAGAATGAGATAAAAAGAAACACATTAGGCTGGGCACGGTGGCTCACACCTGTAATCTAGCACTTTGGGAGGCTGAAGCGGGCAGATCGCGAGGTCAGGAGATCGAGACCATCCTAGCTAATACGGTGAAACTCCATCTCGACTAAAAATACAAAAAAATTGGCCAGGCGTGGTGGCACATGCCTGTAGACTTAGCTACTCAGGAGGCTGAGGCAGGAGAATCACTTGAACCCAGGAGGCGGAGGTTGCAGTGAGCTGAGATCACCACACTGGACTTCAGCCTGGGCGACACAGCAAGATTCTGTCTCAAAAAAAAAAAAAAAAAAAGAAAAGAAATACATTTAAAAGTTCTAATAATTTTCTCCCACACCCTAAACCGTAGTATTATCTTGACCTCTCCCCTAGCGGGCATATGCCCCACTTTCAACACCAACTTCCCTAGAGATGAAGACAGTTAAACTTTGGCGCCTATTTCCACTGCTTTTTCTTAGTGCATATACTAATGTCATTTGTTAAGAAAAAAAAAAAAAAAAAAAAAAAGAAGAGAGAGTATACCATTTAAATGCTTCTGCAACTAATTTCTACATATAACATTACATGTTGGACATCTTTCCCCTCAGTATAGAGAGGCCAAGTTCATTATTATTGCTCCATAGTAATCTATTAATCAGAATAGATTTGCATTTCTCTAATCAGTCTACTATTGATAGACAGCATGATTCGAATTTTTCACAAAGAACACCACAATAACCACCCTTGTATGTTCACGTTACTTTTTTTTTTTTTTTTTTTTTTTTTTTTTACCAAATATGTGACTGCAGCTGCATGATTAACAGAGTCTTGTATACCCAGTATCCTACTCAATTTGCCCAAATCCCCTGGTGGATAGGCAGCATAGAGAATCATATCATTCTCCTTGTGCAAATGGGGAAATGGAAGTTTCAAGAACGTACCTGACCTAACACAAAACCTAAACTTACTCTGTCTACTGTGCTAACTTGACATAGATGATCTGATTTAACATTCATGAAAGTCCTAGAAGATGAGTATTACTACTCTCCCCATTTTATCGATTTATTTTATTTTATTTGAGATGGGGTCTCACTCTGTCACCCAGGCTAGAGTACAGTGGAGCGATCTCGGCACACCATAGTCTCTACCTCCCAGGCTCAAGCCATCCTCCCACCTCAGCCTCCCAAGTAGTGGGGACCATAGGTGTGTGCCACCATGCCTGGCTAATTTTTTAGTATTTTTGGTAGAGACAGGCTTTTGCCACATTGCCCAGGCTGGTTTCAAATGTGTGGGCTCAAGCAATCTGCCTGCCTCCACCTCCCAAAGCGCTGGGATTACAGGAGTGAGCCACTTGGCCCAGCCAGCATTACCCCCATTTTAGATATGAAGAAACTGAGGCTCTGAGAAGTCTAGTATCTTATAAAGGGGACCCAGAGTAGTGGGCAGTGGTGTGAAGTCTGACTCTGAAGCCTGGGCATTTTCTGCCTGCCACCTGCTCATCAGGGCTAGGGTGGGATTTCAACCTTGCACACCCAGTATACCCAGGGTCCTCTCAGAAATAAAGTGCCTGCTGTACCCTGGCATTACCTTGACATCCTGCTCCAGATTCTCTTTCGGTCACCTCCTCATGAGCAGGGAGAATATTATATCCAGAGTTAACATATATTTCAGGCTATGAATTCAAAACCAAGATGACAGAAAAATCCCTAATTCTTGAAACCTGCTCTTTCTCTGTTACGTCAGTGACTTTCCCACCACCAGTGCTAAGTTTTTGGTTTCTTCCTTTTAGTTGGGGCCAGATTCTGCCCTTCAAGAGGCATCTATGGGTCTATGGGTCTTGGCCACTTGCCTTTCACACCTCACTCACATGGTATATAGACGTGGGTGGCCCAGTTGCCCCGCTCATGGGGGAAGGTGCGCACCCGTCCCCCGTGTTTGGCACTGTCATCTTCAGGCCCCTCCTCGGTGCCGGGGAACATGTTTAGCACACTGTCAGGTACTGGAAACCTCTGCCTGGGAAGGGGGGTCTGGCCACTGCAAAAGGAAAAAAAGACCAATGAGCACATTTATCCTGTTAGCACTGTCTACCTTTGTGCATACCATAGAAGTTGTAGCCCCTTATATATGGTGGCTCTGAGTGTGTTCCCAGCCCGGTGCTGGAAGCAGCTTCTAGAGAGCCAAAATTGTTTCTCCAGTATGTCTCACTGGGGTCTCCAACTCTGAGGGACAGACCTTAGCAGGGCGCGAGGTCCCCATGGGAACAACGGGGCATGTAGCAATGTGGCTCAGGAGTCACATTCCCAAGCTGGACAGGCTGTAGGTGAAGTAGCACTTTCTACCTCTGCGATCTTGGGCAGGCCATGTCCCCTTTCTGGGCCTCAAATGCCTCATCTGAAAGTATATGTCTACCTGATAGAGCAGTTGTGAGATCAACTGAGCTACTGCTTGTAAAGCACTCAGCAAAAATAAGGCCTAGCACTTAAGAACCTAAGCCCCAGGAAGTAAGAAAGGCCAATGGCTTTGTTCACCGCTGAATTCCCAAACCCCAGACTGGCACGGAGTGGGAGGGACCTCAGTGAATATTTACTGGATGAATGAAAAAGCTCTCCCTACACTTTAGCAAGTATTATTATCGCAAATGTATTCACATCAGGAAACAGACCTGATTTGATGGTACGTGATGTGTGCCGGACTATGGAGTGGGCCAGCCCGGAGGCTGAATCCGAACCCATGTGGTCTGGCTTCCCAACCTGGCCCTAGCCAGGTGGGGCCACTATGGGGCTTTGTCTGGGGGTATCTTCTGGATCGTCCTTTCTCCCTGCGTCCCCCTTTCCTTCCCCGGAGCTGCCCCGCCCCATCCCTCCCCACTCCACCCCCAGACTCTAGGGTCGGGTCTGGGTCTAGGACGATGCGCAAGCCCTCCAGAGAGACTTCCTCATTCCTCACCTACGGTGGCTCCCATCCCCCGGCCTGGTCCGCATCCCGTCCTCGGACTCATCCTCGGAGCCGCTGCTGCTGTAGCCCACCAGGGGCGCCGCGCTCATGGAGCCTCATCCGAGACGACCGAGCACGTCCTCCAGCAACCTCACCCGGCACCCGGAGTTCCGCTGTGCCGGAAGCGCCCTCCTAGGGGCGGGGCCTGGGCTGGCACCGCCTCGGGGCGGGGCCAGGCGGGGCCGGCAGGGGCGGGACCCGGCAGGACTGCAGCTGAGGCTCAGCCTACCGACTCCACGCTGCCTGCCGGCTGCGCACGCGGCGCTGGCCATTTGCCCCGTTGCCCCCTTCCGGCAAACCCCAGCTTTCATGTACCCATTTCACAGATCGCTCAGGGCCCTCACCTTTCTTCCCGCTGCTCTGTCTGCAGCCACCCGGGACCAGACTTCCCAGACACGACGGTCCCGCGTCAGCGCACTAGACCCAGCAGAGACCCCTGCCTGCCCCGATCCCGTCCAGGATCAGAGGTGCGGGAGCGCCCTCCTCAAATCGGACCAAAGTCCGAGACCCTAGAAGCCCAGCTGAGGAGTTGGGGTCAATTGCGGAAGACCAGAGGGTCTAGAAGGCCCCTCCTCTCCCGCTCAGAGCCGGGCCGAGGGCGGCCCCCGGGAACTCTCTCCCCTAAGACCGAGAGGGGTGGCTGGGAGCAGAGCGCTCTTCCTCCGTTAGCCAAGGCGTCCAGGCCCGGAGACTGGAGAAGCGCCCGGAGCACCCGGCTTGTCCGACCCGGCCCGGCCGCGGGGTCCCCGGCAGGGGGCGGCCTCGCTCCGCGCCGCCCGCTACTCCTGCAGCCGCCGCCGCCGCCGCCCGGGATGCCGCTCCTCCCCCGGCCCCGCCTCCTTGGCCCCCGCGCCGCCCGCCCGTCTGCCCGTCTCCGCAAGGCCATCGGTCCGTCCGCCCGCCCTCCCGGCTCTCCTCGCCCCGGCCCCGCTACTCCGGCAGCGCGCGTCGCTTCCTCCGTTCCGGCCGCCGCTAGCCCGTCCCCCGCCCCCGGTCCGGCCGCCGCCGCTACGCGAGGCCGGGGATTGGCAGCGCGCGTAGGCCGCGCCGCCGCGGATGGAGCCGGAATAAAGGGGCGGCCGAGGGAGCAGCTGGTAGCCGCTCGCCCCGCGCCTGCCCTACAGGCGGCCTGGAGCAGGTGAGCGGCGGGGCGCCCGGGGCCGCATCTGGGGGCTACCCCATTGCCCGCCGCACCCCTTCCCCTGCCTGCCCGGCCGCCCCCCCAACCCCCGCGCCCCTTAGCCACGACCTGGCGGCCTCTTGAGCTCCTGGGCGGCCCAGGCAGGGTCTCGACGCTCAGTGGCTTCCTGGGCCAGGCCTGCAGCCCTGGGGCCTTTCTCCAGCCTGGTCGCCCTCGGGGCCCACCCTCGGGTCGCAGCGGCCTGGCCATCCCGGGCGAGGGCTGACAGGACGCGGCCCAGCTGGGCCTGCAGGCAGGGCCGGCGAGAGGTGATCAGCTTTCATTTGGTTTCTCCGGGAGGAAGAGCTGGGGTGGGGCACAGGTGGGGTCCTCCCCTGCCTCTCCTCGCCTCCTCTATCCCCTTTGCGGAGTGATCAGAGAGGCTTCCTGGCTGCACCTTGCTGCAGGAGGGCCGGGGTGGGCGGGGTGAGAGGGGGGCTGCAGTCCAAGCCAGAGGACATTGACCCTGACAGCCATTCGTGCCAGAAAAAAGCAAACAAAACAGTGGGTTGGCACAGTGGACCTAGAGGCGTTCAGAGAAGCCCACCTTCCCCCGCTCTGTCCCGGGAAGGCTTAGATAACCGAGTGGTAGCTGCACGCTTAAGTAACTTGCTGCCTCCATCCAGAGCAGCCGCTCCTCTCTTCCCTCCCTTCCACAAGATGCTGAGGATGACCGCTTTTAGCCTGACTCTTACGTTTCTTTGGCAGAGCAGTTAGAGGCCAGGCTGGCCTGTGAAGGCATCTCCTTCCTTCTTCCTCTGCTCAGAAGAAAACTTACAAACTTTTCGATGTAAGAGGCAGATGAGCTGGGAACCTGGAAGTGGGTTGCATCTGACTCTGAAAGTTCCTCCCTCTCGCTGGCATTACCTTATGCTGCCACAAAGTGGTGAGTTAGAGATTTGCCTGGGCTGGGTGGGCTTTATCTTCCAACGATTACCCAGAATGTTATAGACTTGGAGTAAGGGAATGGAGTTGTCTCCAGAGAGGTGATGAGAAGTGCTCTGTGGTTAGCATGCTGCATCCTGCATTACCAAGGCAAACCAGACAGTTTCCTACATTTTCTGCAGGCCTTGACACTATGAGACTCAGAGGATTTGGGAGTGTGTCTGTGTGTGTTCTGGGAGAGCACTAGAGTGAGGAATTCTGCTGTGTGGACATCAAGCCTGGGTGGCTCTGTGGCCCTCTCATCTAGCCCCCATCAGCCATAGGCTCCGGTTCCTGTAGGGCCACCCATTCTGTCTGGTGGAGAGAGAATGGGCTTGTGGCCAGGGCTAGTTGAGGGGGTGTGGACAGTCCCTCATAGGGGAGGGTTTTTGAAATGGTCCTTGGTTCCATGTAGTTATCCTAAATATTGACTGTAAGAGACTATTTGCCACTGGGCTCTCAGACCTGAGAGGTCTGTCCTCCTCACTCAGGTTAGTGACAAGAGAGGAGCCACAGGCCTCAAGGAGGACTCTGTATTATAGGCCGATCACCCCAGACTCTCACCTGTGAGTCCAAGCTAAAGAGGGTTAGCAGGAAGCTGGAAGAGACTTGTGGAGGCTGGGATGTCCTGGCCCAGGGGCGGGGCACTGAGGTGGGTGGGGTGGAGGCCGCTGCCATGCCCTCTGCCTGGAGGAGCTGAGCTGGCTGCATACCTCTCTGCTCACCTAAGAAGGGAGCAGTCCAGCTGCCCTGAGCACCTCTGCCTTCCCCAATGAGTGGTTTGTGATGGTGTGGTGAGTGTGGGCAGGACAGGGAGAGGGCCCAGGAAACTGCTGCTTGTTCCTTCCTCGAGCTCACACTTTCTCTCTTCTCTACAGAACGGATCACTGGGGAAGGCAGAGCCTCCCAGGCACTGCTGGGACCCTCCCTTGAAGAGCCCCCATGTCCTGTAGACAGAGATTTGTAGTCTGTCCGCTTGGTTACTGACTTGAGCTGTCTGACCAGCCCCTCTTCTGTGCCTTGTTTGAGGTCCTTGTCCATCTCTCTGATCTGGCAACTTCTCTGTCTGGGTTGGGGCACCCGAAGCAGGAAACTGAAGCCATTACTCTCCAAACCCTGTTTCATCTTCCCAAGCATGTCGGAGAGCTGGCAACAGCCGCCACAAACGCAGCCGCAGCAGCCACAGCCACCGCAGCCTCAGCACCATGCAGAGCCACCGCCAGCCCTGGCGGAGCACACGTTGCCCCCAGGTACCGCGGAGAACCCCCTGGGCTGTGCTGTCTATGGCATCCTCCTGCAGCCAGACCCGGGCCTGCAGCCTCCACAACACGCGCCCCTGCAGGCAGCAGGAGAGCCAGGACTCAAATGCGGGGTGTGTGGTCACGACCTGGCTCACCTGTCCAGTCCCCATGAGCACCAGTGTCTGGCGGGCCACGACCGCTCGTTCCAGTGTACACAGTGTCTCAAGATCTTCCACCAGGCCACTGACCTGCTGGAGCACCAGTGCGTGCAGGCTGAGCAGAAGCCCTTCGTCTGTGGGGTCTGCAAGATGGGCTTCTCACTCCTCACCTCACTGGCGCAGCACCACAGCTCCCACAGCGGCTTGGTGAAGTGTTCCATCTGTGAGAAGACCTACAAGCCAGCCGAGGCAGCGGAGCCGGCCACCACTGCCGCCCCGTCGCTTCCCGCAGCACCTCCGCCTTCCACTGTCACCCCTGCTGAACAGGCCGACAAGCCCTACAGCTGCCCCATCTGCCAAAAGCCCTTCAAGCATCTGTCTGAGCTCTCTCGGCATGAGCGGATCCACACGGGCGAGAAGCCCTACAAGTGCACGCTGTGTGACAAGAGCTTCAGCCAGTCGTCCCACCTGGTGCACCACAAGCGCACGCACAGCTCCGAGCGGCCCTACAAGTGCGCGGTCTGCGAGAAGACCTTCAAGCACCGCTCTCACCTGGTGCGCCACATGTACGCGCACTCGGGCGAGCACCACCTGTTCCGCTGCAACGTGTGCGAGCTACATTTCAAGGAGTCGTCGGAGCTGCTGCAGCATCCGTGCACGCCAAGCGGGGAGCGGCCCTTCCGCTGCGGCGAGTGTCAGAAGGCCTTCAAGCGGCCCTCGGACCTGCGGCAGCATGAGCGCACGCACAGTGCCGAGCGGCCCTTCAAGTGCGACCTGTGCCCCATGGGTTTCAAGCAGCAGTACGCACTGATGCGCCACCGGCGCACGCACAAGGCGGAGGAGCCTTTCAAATGTGGCCTGTGCGAGAAGGGCTTTGGGCAGCCCAGCCACCTGCTCTACCACCAGCACGTGCACACCCTCGAGACACTCTTCAAGTGCCCCGTGTGCCAGAAGGGCTTCGACCAGTCGGCCGAGCTGCTGCGGCACAAATGCCTGCCTGGCGCAGCAGAGCGGCCCTTCAAGTGCCCTGTGTGCAACAAGGCCTACAAGCGGGCCTCGGCCCTGCAGAAGCACCAGCTGGCCCACTGCGCGGCGGCGGAGAAGCCCCTGCGCTGCACGCTGTGCGAACGCCGCTTCTTCTCCTCTTCTGAGTTTGTGCAGCACCGCTGTGACCCGGCCCGCGAGAAGCCACTCAAGTGCCCAGACTGCGAGAAACGCTTCAAGTACGCGTCAGACCTGCAGCGGCACCGGCGGGTGCACACAGGCGAGAAGCCCTACAAGTGCCCCAACTGCGACAAGGCCTTCAAGCAGCGAGAGCATCTCAACAAGCACCAGGGCGTGCACGCCCGTGAGCAGCAGTTCAAGTGCGTATGGTGCGGGGAGCGCTTCCTGGATGTGGCCTTGTTGCAGGAGCACAGCGCGCAGCATAGCGCGGCCGCTGCGGCTGCGGAGGGCGCCTACCAGGTAGCTGCCTGCCTGCCCTGAGTCCGTGGCAGTGGCCTCTACCGGCCTGACCGGAGTAGGCACTGTCGGCCCAGCAGGCCTCACGCAGTCTAGCTCCTCACAGCTGCCTTGTACCAAGGTCCCTACCCAGCTCAGTGTTCTGAGACCTCGGGAGTGAGGACACAGGGGTACCAGGCAGGGAGAGGATG